AATGTTCCCTCAATCTCCTTGATAAGGTTTACAGAGACAAAAATATCAACATTGGAGGACTGAAGAACACGCTGGAGTCAATATGGAAAACAAAGAGGCCTTTCTCAATTAGGTTATTATACTCAATGCGTCCGTTCGTTTTCCACCTGGAAGAGGACAAACAGAAAATCCTTTTCGGTAAGGCGTGGAACTTTGATGGTCAGTATATGATTCTAAAGGTATGGGATAAGGAAACATGTGAATTCAAAGAAGAGGACTTCGTAGTTGAGTTGTGGGTTCAAATCCTAAACCTGCCTCTACATTGGGTTTCCTTAGAGACAGGATTAAGGATTGGAAAATTGTTTGAGCAGGCGATGGATGTGATTGTTCCAGAAATAGGAGGTACAAGAGGAAGAATGGTGAAGATCCTTGTGAAAGTCAAACTCAAAGAACCTCTTCTAAGAGGCACAAACATTAGAATGGGGAACGACAGTAGATGGATGGACTTTAGGAACGAAAACCTCGAACACTTTTGCTTCTACTATGGTTATATATGGCATGGTGAAGGATCATGTGAGAAGAAAAAAAGAATATAAAAAGAAACATGTTTAACTTTGGTCAATATGGGGAATGGCTCAGAGCAGGCTTTGGTAATTTATCTGACTATAAAAGTAGAAAAGAAAATAAGGGAGAAAGATCAGATTTAGATTAGGATAAAACTGTGCAGAAAAGATTAGATAAAGAGGGGAGTGGGGAGGGTAAAAGTGATAGTGGTAGAGGTAGGCGAAAAAACTGAATTTTTCCGTACCGAGTCGGACAAAAAATGGTCCCGTGTCAAAAAAATAAAATTTCGAAAGGTTTTTTTTTTTTATTTTTGTCCCAATCCCGGTACTGAACCGTTTTAAAAAATGTCAGTATCTTTGAATATTTTTGTCCCGATCCGTCCTGTTTGACCTGTTTTATTTTTTTCGTACAAAATATTATATTTTATATTAATATTGTTGTACCAATTACATAACAATAGGTTATTTTGGCATCCAAGCTTCAATAGCATTCTAACTTTGTAATATAAAAAAACAAAAGCTCAATTGTCCAAGCCAAAACTAAATAATCTGGCAAAAAAAATAAATAAATAAATAAACAATGCATTTGGTAATTTGGTTTTAAAGCAATGTTTATGTTAGATCTTACATGTTTGTGAGTGATGACTTAAATTTAATGGATCGGTATGTTTGTTATTATGGAATCAATACTCTTTGGTGATTTAGTTTAAGTAAATACTTGAATCGGTGTGTCTGTTTGTTCCGGTTCAGAATTGTTATGTCCCGGTCTTGAATGATACCTGTCCATTTGGGATGGTGTCTAGTCCCAGACCGATCTATAAAAGCGGGACATGTACTGGGGTCAAATCCCAGACCGTCTCGGACAGCGCCCAACCCTAGATAGTGGGAGTAGAGAATTTGAATAATCTTGGAGTCCAATTGGAATGGAGGGTCCTAGTCTCAATCCTAGATTAGAGATCAGAGAATTAGAAGAAGAAATAGGACTTGTTGAAAAAGGAAAAGAAATTTCTGAAGGGGCTAAAAGTTTAAACTAGGAAAAAAATGTTGAGGGCTCAACTCAAAGCCAAAATTTGGCTAATAGCACCAATCAATCTGCCTTAATATGTGATAATTTAGGCAAAAAAGGAAAGCACTTATTTGTACGAAAATTAAGGAAAGAGGAGGGGATATTGTAGATAGTATGAAAGTGGATTTTCAAAAAATGAAAGGAAAATGTCTTAATGAGAATAACAAGAGAAACCTTGTTGAAGATCAAGAATGTTTTGGGGAAAATGAAGAGGGTTGTTTGAAATTTAAAAGATTGAAACAAATTATATCAAATTTGGTTTTAGAGGTGAAGGAAACCAGCTCTAACTGATCCCGATGTGTCCAATGAAGGTATGTGCGTGGAATTGTAGAGGTTTTTGAGGACCCTGTACAATTTCTCATTTTAAGGAAACCTTAAGGCACCACCTCCCAGCTTTTGCATTTTTTTTTGAAAAAAAAATAAAAAATTATTATCACTGCTTGTAATAAGCTAAAGCTTCAAGATAGGTGGTGTTATGTAGACCCCATAGGCAGCAAAGGGGTGACATTTTTTTGTATTGGTCTGAAAAAGTGAATATCATTGAAATGAACTGTAACTCCTTTTGCATTGACGTGTGCTACTCTTTAGATTCTAAAAATTAAAAATTGTGGACAGTCTTTGTTTATTTCAGTACAATTTTGGCAAAAAAAGAAAATCAGTGGAACTTTTTGCTTAGACATAGCCTTCAGTGGGGTGATCTTTGGTTTCTAAGGGGGAGACTTTAATGATATTCTTAGTAATCAAGAAAAAATGAGGGTAGGATAAGAGAGGAGTTTAGTTCTGCTGGGTTCAGAAACTTTGTAAGGAGTTTAGGAGGGGTTGATCCAGGGTTTAGAAGCCATCCCTTTACTTGGGCAAATAATAGGAGTGGAGAGAATTTTGCAGAAGAAAGACTGGATAGATTTATTCTCTCCTTTTCTTGGATGGAGCTTGATTTTCCTAATTCCTTAGTTAATCATGTTTATTTTTCTTCTTCTGACCACAGTATGATTGTGTTGGATAATGTGAATGTACATACCCAGACAAAGAAAAAGGTTCTTCTTTGATGCAACTTGGCCTAAAAAAGAAAGGTTCATTCAGATTGTGGAAACAAACTAGAACTTATATGTGAATGGTCCTGACTTATTTAGTATGCAGGAGAGAATAAAGAATGTTAGACAAGGCTTAATTGGTTGGAAGAAAAAGAAAGTGTCTAATTGTACCGCCCCATTTGTTCCGGATTATTTGGAGATCATTATTATTATTTATTTTTAATTTCCAGATTTATTTACTTCGTGCTCGATTATTATATTCGATTATGTGCTCGTAAATTGTTAAATCATATTAAATTAAAATCAAGCCAAATTTTGTTAGTATTTTAATTTTCGCCCGAACCGAATAATCATTATTAATCGGGACTTCGAACCGAGCGAGCGACCATACCGAACCATCGGTCTGAGCCACCGAACCGCACCCTCGTGCACCCGCTCGATTCACGTTCGCATGAATTCCGCCGGCCGAGCCATTCTTGCATGCATGGCCATCTTAAGTTGAATTTTTGAATTCAAATTGTAACCCCCTTATCCCATAAAATCAGCCCTTATCCCACTTCATGAGCCTTGACCAATTATTATGGGGAGGTTACAAGACTTGTAAATAAGGGAAAAACCCCCATTCACTCACCCTCATTCTCTCCCTCTCTCTCTCTCTCTCTCTCTCTCTCTCTCTCTCTCTCTCTCTCTCTCTCTCTCTCTCTCTCTCTCTCTCTCTCTCTCTCTCTCTCTCTCTCTCTCTCTCTCTCTCTCTCTCTCTCTCTCTCTCTCTCTCTCTCTCTCTCTCTCTCTCTCTCTCTCTCTCTCTCTCTCTCTCTCTCTCTCTCTCTCTCTCTCTCTCTCTCTCTCTCTCTCTCTCTCTCTCTCTCTCTCTCTCTCTCTCTCTCTCTCTCTCTCTCTCTCTCTCTCTCTCTCTCTCTCTCTCTCTCTCTCTCTCTCTCTCTCTCTCTCTCTCTCTCTCTCTCTCTCTCTCTCTCTCTCTCTCTCTCTCTCTCTCTCTCTCTCTCTCTCTCTCTCTCTCTCTCTCTCTCTCTCTGTCGTGTATCTCTCTCTCACTCCCTCACTTTCAAATTTTCAGCACCTTCCCTCATACTCTCTTCTCCCCATCCCTCGCGGGAAAACTCATCAGCCTCGCACGAAATGCCGAAAGTCCGT